CGGCCAACAAAGCCGACCGACACTCGCGAAGGAAATCCGATTGGTTTACGATGGCGCTCAACCCGCGAGATGGGGGGGACTGATAGTAAGGAAAGGGAACGCGTCCCTAACAATCTCCGCCATAACCGAATCTCCTGTCAATGCGCGGCGTAGGAAAGCCAAACTCGAGGCACGTTTGTGGCTCTGCAAGTGTGGCATTCCCAGCCCGCCATGACACGGACGTTGTGCACAGACTCGTCTGTCGACGCGATTCCCGCGTCCCCTCCATAAAATGGAGGATAGCGAGCGCTCGAGCGGCTTCCTATGGTCGTCACAGAGAGGAAGTAGGGACAATCGATAAAGGACATAAGGGAAAATGTATGTAGCACATACCTCCGCCCTGCCCTTCACGGACAACCTCCGTCGACGCCAAGTCTGACCGGCTGCATCGACCTTTGCTCGTACTTCAGACCAATTTTTCTCTATCTGGAGGTCGGGTTTAAACCACAGAATGTGGACAGGACCGTCCAACCGAAGGGCTCCGGAAGATCGACCCCCTTCCAGGCACCTAACCGCAAGCCGGACGACTTGTCGCGGTTTATCTTGGCCCCTGTCCCCTTTTCATAACAATCAAGTACCGCCTCAATGTCGCTGCGGGACAACACGAAGGCAGATACGTCATCGGCGTACGCGTAAACTCTGGCTCGAGCCCCTCCAGGAACGAGGATTCCACGTAGGACCGGAGTGAACGCCCTGTCCTTCAGCCGGCGAAGGAGAGGCTCCGACGCCAAAGCAAAAAGTAGGGGCGTCAGTGGACAAACCTGACGAACCGACCTAGACAGCGCAAAAGCGGCCGACATCTTCCCGTTCACCTGTACTACAACACTGGAGGAGCGATACAGGAGGCTAGTCCAGCGGCAGAAGTCGGGTTAAAATCCGGCGGCCTGCAGGACAGCCGCAAGTTAGAGATGGTCAACCCTATCAAATGCCTTGGACTGATCCAAATTGATCAGCACGGCCTCTTCGTCGTCTTTTACTCCCTCTATGATCGTGCGGATCAAATGCAAGTTGCTCTGAATTGTTCGGCCCCTCACAGAACAAGTCTGCTCAGGACCCAACAGAGACTCGACAACTGACTGCAAACGCTCCTGCAGGATCTTAGCCCAAATCTTTAACTCTGTGTTTAGCAGAGTTCTGGACTTGTAATTATCTAGGTTCCCCCCAACACCCTTGCCCTTTTTCAACAGCGTGATCACACCCCTGGAAAACCGGTCGGCGGGGGGACCCCCTGCCGGAACCAGTTGTTGAACACCACTGTCAAAATCGGAACAAAGATGTGCGACAGTCTCAAGTACAATTCATAGGGCAAACCATCCAGACCGGGCGACTTGCCTCTGCCAACCTTCTTCAATGCCGCGTTCACTTCGCCGTCCGTAATCTTTCCCTCGCAGCTAGCCGCTTCAGTTGGCGAAAGCCAAGGAAAGTCAGCCAAATAGCTGCGAAACTCGTCCTCACGAAGACCAGGCTCCTTGGTAAACCGGCTCTCAAAATGCCGCCGAAACGCCTCGCACATGTCGTCAGTGGCCCGAAGAGTACGCCCCTCCGGGATTTTGACTTCACGAATGTAACGATCGCCACCTCGACGGACTTCTTCCTTGCGCAAATCTGAGCCCATATTCACAGCTTCGGAAGACATCTTGCTTAACCTATGTCTAATTACCTGGCCCATGTAGCGCTCGCTATTCGAACGCTCCACGGCCTCCTTAGCTAAAAGCTATCTCTAGGGGATCCCCCCCCAGTCACCGCCCGGGAAAGACTAGCTTTAAGCGTCCTCACCTTGTCAGCTCTATCTAGGGCGAGCCGTTTGCTGAAATCAGTGGTGAAGGACCTAATTCTACATTTAAGTCTGTCCCACCACCTATTCCCGATAACCGCCCCCACTAGCTTCCGCTGCACTAAGCTAGTTAGCTGCTCCTGGAAATCCCGCCTGTCCAGTAAAGACAGATTGAACTTCCAGTAACCAGCCATTCTAGGCCTATGATCTAACGCCACACGGGCACAAACGAGTTTGTGGTCCGTATAGCCTACCCAGTGGAACGTGGGACAATCTAACAGATCTATGTCGGCTCTTCTAACTAACATTCTGTCAAGGTAGCTAACTACCTTGTCACAAGGTCAGCTACGAGCCCACGTCCACATCCCCCCGCCACCGGGGTGATCGACCCGGTATCTATCAGCGAGACCAAAATCGTTGATCAGATCGACCAAGCTACGATCGCCCCTTCTCCCGCTAGCACCCCGCCCCCGATCTAACTTGGGGTCCAGGATGGCATTCCAGCCCCCCATTAGAACTAAGCGCGTTGAATCCACCAGGGAAGGCCCCAACCGCCGAAAAAACGAAACCCGCTCCTCCTGGTCGTTGGGCGCATAAACCGCAACGACCCGAAACGAACCACTTTTCACGGCAATATCGGCCATGATGAACCGTCCCTCGGCATCGGTATGCACAAGGTCCACCTTCGCATCTAGAGTCCGCTTCACCAGCAAAGAAACTCCTCTGGCAACCCGGTCCCCATATGCTGAATAGACGACAAAGTCGGTAGACAGCACACGCGCATCGGAACTGCAAAGTGGGTCTCTTCGATCACGGCGACATCCGCGCCAAAGGACAAGAGATCCCGGAGCAGGCGGGCCGCCTTACCCCGATCCCTTCACATTCAAAGTCGTTATCTTGATAGACATGGTTTAGGTCTGAAAAAAGGGGAAAAAAAAAAGTAAAAAGAAAAGACAAAGACCTACTCACATACCAGGCGGAAATTGCGTTGGTAAGGACTCTGACGGAGTTTCCTAGGCTCCCTGTTCCTAATTCGGTCGTCATACGACCGTCTAAGACAATCCCGCCGACGTCCGTGGGGTAGATTAGATTCACTGCCCTATATAAGGAGGGATGGAGTAACACAGGGACCCTCCCAGCGGAAGCTGAATTAACGGCCCTTTTACTGCTCTCTTAAATTACTGCGCACTTAAGTTGTGATGAAAAGCAATGACTAGTGTTATTTTTTCAACTGTTTTTTTTTTTTTTTTTTATAGTAAAGCATTCTTTGCACGAACTTTGAAAAGAGCATTATCAACCACACCCCACATTTAACCCTAATCGTTAGGGTAGGGTAAGGGTTAGTAATCATGCTCTTTTCAAAGTTCGTGCAAAATTTGCGCATTAATTATTATTTGTTTTATTTTTAATTTAAAAGAAAAGTTTTATTTTATTATTTAATTTGATTGTTTTTTTTTTTAATTTGAAAAGAAAGCATTATTTACCACTTGTCATTGCTTTCCGACAGTACGCAATAATTTACACGAGTAAAACCAATAAAAAGGCTGTTAATTAAGCTTCCGCGTAGAAAGTGTTCAGTTCAGCAGTGAAACAAGGCTCGTAATGGCGGATGAATGAACGCGTCTGAATCAGAATTTTTTTTTATTGTCGATAACTACACAAAACGGTAGGTTTTATCAAAATTTGGTCGTTATTTTCGAGTTCAGCATATACATTTATACGGAAATATGACGATTTAGGAAATTTATAATAGATTTTAAAAAGCAAATTTACCGTTATTTTTCCAGAAAGATAAACTTGAAACGCAGAAAAGAAATCTTTTGACAATCACGAAATTTAAAGTTTAACAATTTTCGCTCTGTAGTTTAATTTTCGGAGTAGTAATTCTTGACTTTTCTAGACACCAATATGAGTTTTTTGGGACAAAGACAAAATTAGACAAAATCCCCTTTTAAATGAAAAGTTTTGTTTTTGCATTTTTAACTTTGTAGAAATATTTTCCGTGGCTACCACTCTCTCTTTCAACGTTTAAATTTATCAAAATAGTACAGAAATAATAAATTAGGAATTTTAAAACATTTATGAATTAAAATTAAACAAAAATGTACATTCTTTCTTCTACAATACTTCTGAAGTGAAGAGCATTTTTTAAGCAATTTAAATGCTGCTATTCTTATATTCAGTGTGTAGTTTAACAAAAAATAAAAAAATATTCATTATAAAAGTAAATAATTAATGAATATGTACTGAAATTTTCATTTAAATTGGATAATTCCCTGATTTTTGGTAACTTAAAAAAAGCGCTAAACACACACCACTACCACCAATTTTCCTTCGAGGGTTTGTGTCCCCCAGATTACGAAACTTAAATTGACATGTAGTTTGGAAAATTTTTATTTAAAGAGATTTAAAATATTAATAAAGTGAGAAGACATCTTTTCAATAACTTCAGTGATGAGATATTATGTATGTATTTTTAGTATAATATACGTCTGATGGCAAAACAGAAGATAATTTTTGTTACCGCTCTTTTTCATGGAATTGGATGCTGCAGACGACTCCTTTTTATCAGAGGAATTGTTCCTGAGTCAGAAAATTTCTCTTGATGAGTAAAGACTCTCAAATTCTGGCTCCGTGATAAACCGATTTAGTTTAGTTATCACGTAAAATAGCATGCTAAACCTTCGACTTACAGTGTCGAAGCACTTTATTTTTAGATAGATTTTTTTACATTAACGATGCCTAACTCTATTTAGATTAGCGGGATGGGGAGTTTTTCGTTTCGGACGACTCTGTAAAAAGTTTTATTAGCTTCGGTAGAATTCCGCCGAAGCAAAGATATGTTTGAGAAATTTTGAAGAGAAAATTTTATTAGTTTCGGTAGAATTCCGAAGCAAAGATATGTTTTTTGAGAAACTTTGAACAAAAGAATTTCTTAGCTTTTGTAGAATTCAGAAGCTAAAAGAAGTAATTTTATTGCCTGGAAGGGGAATTATTGCATTTGATTTGTTGACTCGGAGAGTTATTTTTTTTTTTTTTTTTTTTGTAAGAGTCGTTCGCTGCGGCATGACGACCCCTACCTCGTTCACTATTTTAAAGTGGGATTTTAAAAATTATTTAAATAAGATATATATTTTAAATTTATAGCTTAGACTAGGTTAGGCGTAGGGTTTTCCTATTTAAACTTTCAGCTCCAGAGGAAGTGAAAAAGAGTGTCAGAAGAAGAAAAGAATTTGAAGAAAGAAGAAAATGAAAAGAAAAGTGTTCGAAAGAAGATGAAAAAACATAATAGAATTTGAAGAGATTGAATTGACTGTTAAAAGATATTGTAACAAGATTTGTTATTGTAAAGAAAAGGTTCAAATGAAAGAAAATATGTTATAAGTTGTCTGCTTGTAGAATGATACATTAGGCAGACATTATTCATCTATTGTAAATCTGTTTTATTTTTGTTTATTCTTTTCGTTACTACTCTACATATGGTACACTATGCATGTATTGTAATTTATTTATTTTTAGGGAATAAAAATTTATCTGTGAACTTTACATTATAGTTGTTATCCAATAATTTTAAGATCGTCTGCTTCTTTCAGTAGTTTGATTATTGCTTTTTTACGAAGAAGTCGAGAACAAAATCTGCAGTGTTAGTTTTCTTGTGTATAGGTAAAAAAACTTGAATTTGATTGAGAATTAAATTTTTCATTTAAATTCGGGTTTTTAACATCATCCACCAACATCGTCACACAGGAAATATACTAACTATTAATTAATTATACCATCCTTCTATTTTTTTTTTTTCTTTTTCAGTAGTAGAGATTATTAAAGTTTTGTTCCAAGACCCTAGCACTTGCCCTGATGGAGCTAAATTTCATTTGAATTCTTTGGATACTCCAGCTTTTGGGAATTATTTTCAAAATTTGTACTTTTTGGGACCACTTTTCACAAGCTGCAACCTTGTCTTTTGTGTACTGTAATAATTTCACTTTCATCAGATTTTTTGTGCTCTTTTACACTGGTAGATTCTTGATGAGAAATTTTAATTTAATTAAACTCAGTTGAATTTTCTTTGATACTGCTCCTTTAATTTTTCCTACTTTTTTCCCTCATAATAGGTTTGTTTTTCAAGTTTTTGTTGCTTGATTGGTGATTCACTAAACATTGAGACGAGTGATTCATTTTTGTAATTCATTTTTCAGTATCTACAAAAATGCTAGAAGGCTGTGGCTGTTTTTCAGTTGATACTATTGAAGTACTTTCAGAAAACAGTTAAACTCTGTTAATTTTATTTGACAATGGGTGAAATTGTTCTTTTTTTTTTTAACAGGTGTCAATTTTTTTAACTTGTTTGATTTTATCAGCAAATTCTTTTGATATTTCTTTTAATCTTTTTAAATTTTCTTATGCATTTTAAAAGGATTGCAGCATATTTTGTCCAATAAGAATAAGAATCTTGTTGGGGATGTGCAGAATAAACTAAGGAATTTGTTGTAGCATTGAGTTAAATCAGAAGGAATTTTTATGTTAGGTTGCGTGAACTTTTCTGCATCCACAAACAAATAAACAATTTCAATGTAAACAAGACAAAACATACATGCAATTCAAAATCGATAAATGCATTTATATACAAATAAGATAATATGTACAGAATATTTTGAAGATGTTATTGTGTTGGTGTGCTTGTGATATTTGTAGTTTTTTGTATGTCCTTTTTTATGTCTTGTGTATCTGTGTTACAGTCTTTTTAGGAAATTGTATTGTGTTTTTAGAAATGAGTCATTACGAAGTAGTCTACCTTTGACTGCAAATGTTGAGTTCGTTCGATGATGTTATTTACTTAGAATAGTAGTGAGTGTTAATTCACTTTAGATAAGTAAAGTTGTTCGGATAGAAGTTTCGGTGTTCAGAGTTTTCTTCGATTTGGGCTTGCGAGTGAGTCAGTAATGATTTGGTTTGCATGTTAGTTTGCGCGGCAAGATTGCAGTTGCAAGCGATGTGGATTATATTAGCATATCTCTGTGCTCATTCAACTAACTGCTTTATCGTAGATGATCAAAGAGAATGTATAGTTTGAGATTCTTGAGTGATGAAGAAGTTTGTAGAAGATATTGAACAGGAAAGATTTGTCGTCTCGATTAGCGAGACGGTGAATTGTAGTCGTCACATTTTTAAGCTTGAGTAAGTGGTTGAAAAATGTTCTGCTGCTGATCTGCCCAGGTCTGCGTCTTCGTCTGCTTCTGCGTGGTCACACGTGCTTTGGGTTCTTTTTAAGAGGTCATAATCGCGTGAGTGGATCCAGAGCGATTTTTGCGCCAAAACTTCGAAGTGCACGTGTGGGTGACCTGATTGGTAGAAATGAACCAATCAGAGGGCTAGATTTACGAATGAAAGTTGGAATAGTGCATTACTCGAAGAAGGTAAGATTGGGCTAATAGACGAGCCCAATAATCTTGTTGATACATCCATTTTGATTCAACCATAAAAAGATTATTAATTTTGTCTAAAAAAATAAATCATTTTACATCTAATAAGTATTTCATAATTTTCTGACAAAACAGTAAATATTTCTAAAACTGATATGCTTTTTCTCTGAAATCACATGTTCCATGAGCATATACAAGACTGTACTGAAAATTTTGTAAAAAATTCTAATACTTTTAAATAAATATCTACATTTGTGGCAGCAATCTCAGCAAAATTTAATAATTTACAAAAAAAAAAAATCAGACATTGAAAACAAATGAAACAGCATAAAAAGAGCAGATCAGCTTTTGAAAATATTAACTTGTTAAATTGTAAAAAGTTGAAACATTAACTTATTACTTATCACAACTATTTTGGTTTTCCTGTATTGGTGAAGAATCCCAACTACTATGAAAAGTTACCATTATCTTTACCGTCTGGACAGTAAGTGGCTTGTTTAAGAGGACCAAGTTTTTGGGGGTTTTTTCACACTGACTTAATAAATTTTTTAATTATTTTTATGTGCCATTGATCATGGCTCTCCACCTCTCTCTATCCCTTGCTGTTCTCAACAAGTTCCTTTGCTCTGCTTCCTCCTCCAGACCATGTTCTGTCATCCACTTGCTTAAGCCCACAAGGTATGTCATGGGTTGTTTTCCCTTGTCTTTCTTTCCCTCTGTTCAACCCGTGAGTATCAGATTCTCCAGGCCCTCCTTCCCCATAATGTGTCCTAGAAATTTCAGCTGTCTCTTCCTGATGTTAAGTATAAGCCTCCTCTTTGTTTGCATCCTCTCTAAGACCTCATCATTGCTCACATGCTTGGTTCATGATATTCTTAGTAGCCTTCTGTAGAACCGCATCTACATTGCCTTGTCTCTTCTTCATCTTTGAGGAAATTGTCCAACATTCGCTGCCATAAAGAAGGACAGATGTCGCATAACAGTTCAGTATTCTTTTCTTTGTTACCAATGAAATCCTCCTGTCTCGCAATACTCTGCCCAGCTTTTGGACTGTGTCCTTGACCATCTCAATACATCGACGGATCTCAGTGTTGCACTTACCATCCTCTGTAAAAACCCTTCCCAGATATTTAAATTTTCACGTCTGCTTGATTCTAGTGTTCCCGACTTGCAAATCGCATATTATTGGTTATAAACCAGCACATATTTTGACTTACCATAAAGTTAAAGAGGAAATAAAGTAATCATGGTATGGATATTAGACAGAATCATGCAGATATAGGAACAATGAGCTTCCTTGTAACTGTTAATTATATATATATATATAAACTAATATATTGATTGTTTTGTACATTTATTTAGTATACCATGTCAAATATCAACCAAAATTTGTTAATTATTAACATCTTTTGTTGCATATTTTCATATTACTTTGTTATCTTAACATTAATTCATGACAATTTTTAAGTAATTATTTTCGTTATGTCACATTTTCTATTTGTTATATAATAAAACTGTAAACAAAACCAAAAATACAGGTTTTTTTTTTTTTTCCACTGAATTGTCAATACTGGTATACCTCACCCTACGTCATTAATCCGGAGGTCATGACTTGGGTCAAAAAACAACTTGAGTCAAAATAACCACATTATAAATTGCAAACGTGCACTCTCCATTGCCTAATACAGTATTTATTATACATATGTACAATATTCTGAATAAAATTAATTCATTTCCACCTTGTCTTCCAGTGATATAGCCTTATGCTTAGCATTATCACTTGCACTGGAACTTTTCTTTAGAGCCATGGGCAAAAATGTATTCTAAATCAGAACTGAAATGTAATTGAAAGAATATCAATGGTAAACCAGACTGAATTCATTGGTGTTGGAGCAGAAAAAACACATGAGTGCTGCCTGTCAGCAGGAATTTGAAATACAGACATCTGCTGAACATAGTATATTATACTAATTGTTTTGTTTTTGATGATTCTATGATATATATATATATATATATATGTATGTATATTAGTATTAGTTTTAAATTTATTTGAATATAATTTTATATATGTTTATTGTTATTTTAGTGTTTAATGTAAGCTCAAGTAAAACGAACTAAGGCTAAGTTTTATTTTTCCATATGGTATTTCAGAAAAAGCGATGTATCTTTGAAAATGACACAACTTAAAAGAACTTAAGCCATGGTATCACAGTATAATCAGCCTTCAAAGCGCCTGATCATATTGAGATATATGAATTTGGCCCAACTCAGTAAAACCCTTGTAACTCAGGCCACCACAGTCAAAAGTCCACCACAAACAAAACAACTGAGATACTGATATCTAAATTTTGTGACTATTTTCCAAAATTCACCTTTTTGGCAAGGGTCAAAAGGTCATACCTCTGGAGCCCTTTGACCTAGAGATGTAAAGTAGGTACCATTCAATTTCTATCATGAAGCTCTATAGATGTACCAAATTGAAAATAATCTGTCTGTGATGGTCAGACCCTTGTTGATTTCAAATGACAAGAGCTGAATGCAAAAAAACTATTGAAAAAGATATACTTTATTCTTCAAAGTAATTTTTATGATCTTGGAAAAAGCACAAAAATATAATCAAGGCATATAATTTTATATCGCTTTTTAAGAAGCGAGCCTGTTACATTGAATTTTTCAAATCTAAACTGATATAGAATTAAAAAGAATGACTGATATTTCATTGATGAATAAAGTTGTTAAAATATTGTGCATTGGCCAATGTAACCTTTCAGCCATATATAGTAGACATTAAAATTATTGTGTCTTCTCTAATTATTTTAGTTAAGTTTTCTCTACTATTATCTGCCAGCAATTGCAGTGAGCTCAAAAGTTGGGGAAATTTAATCCAGCAATA